TAACACTTGGCTTTGATGATGAATCACATGTGAAAATCGACTCGATTAAGTAGATTTAAAATAGTGGTCTCTGGTTCTGTTGTGGCAGTCTCCAATTCTTCTTTAGCAATATTTTTGTTTGTGAAATTAGAGAAGCAAATGGTCACTCAGCCATGACCATGGTGAATATTGGCATTAAAATGCTAAGACAACTCTGCAAACAATAATATTATAAAGCATTAAAACTAAAAACAAACTGTTTATTTCTTGGGCATGATAAAAAGCCACGCCATAAACTTCAGGCCAATTTGAATTCATGGGAGAAGGCCGGTGACAACCCTTAGTGCAACAGATGTCCTGTTGACCCCCATAAGCCGAACCACTAATCCTCTCTCTATCTTCAACCTCGAAAACAAATGCTTGAATCGACCATGAGGTAAAGTTTGATAATTCCTTGTTAAGACAGATTGTGACTATATTAAACATGTTTTCACATGACAAAATCAAATCGCAATCAGCATAATTTCATTTTACGTATCAATGTATAAAAATTAAACTGTGAAACAATCTGTTATTCAATTTGTTGATTGGTCCTCTACTGATTCAAGTGTGAAATCAATTATCAGCCTCCATATCCATACATATTCCAAAAGAAGAACCGATTAAATCAAGAAAATAAATACAAAAATCTCAATTAGATACAAATAAATATAATAGTAAGCAAAATAAACAACAAAATTGATGAGAATATACTGCCTTCTTTTATCAAACATGTGATGGGAGAAATTGAAATTTAAATAGATTAATAATAAATTGAAAGAGGAAGCAAAAGAAATAAGCTTCTATCTATTTGGAGAATCAATCGTAAATATATATGTGTGAGCTTTGTATTCACCAAGACTAAACAAATAAAAAAAGCCAAAACTCAACCTCATATTTTAATTTAAAAAAATAAAAAAATTGAGAAATAAAATCTGAATAAAAAAAACATACCTAACAGCAAAAAATAAACAATATCATGGTTGTGTTGTTCGTCAAATGCAAGCTCAAAAATCCCCTTCTGCAACTCTCAAACCTAAAGATAAAGATATCCCATTTTAGGTGTCAAGTTAAGCTTTTTTTTTTGGAAAAGGAGAAATAGTAAAACAACCCTGAAAACGAAAAGAATACAACATAAAATATGATATTCCAAACTACATTTCAGTTTCAACTTTCAATCACATGTTTCAATCACTCACCTTCGTCACTTACATATGTATGAATCAAATTAACATTAAAAATTTCATTTGAAGGAAATTCTTTTATAGATCTATAAAAGGTGTTGTTGGTTATTGATGTTGTTGAGATTCAGAGGTCTTGGTTGCGACCACCATTTTTACGCTTGAACGTCTGAAACAAATAAATTAACAGGTTAGGATGAGAATATTAGATGGTTGAGATTACAACGAAACGAAATTGGTAGCAACAAAGAGAGAAGAATGAAAAGAGATGGAGCGGCGCAGGAAGAAGATGAAATTAGGTAAGATGATGAAATTAGGTTTTCTGATTTGTGTTTTAATAGAGTTGGGTGAATGAGTTATTTGTTGCATCTTGGGAAAAACGATTTCTTTGGTTGTATAGATTTACCGTTTCAAGAACTCAACATTTATGATGGTTGTTCATCTTGTGCTGCCAATTTAAATCTTGCAATAAAAAACGTGATTAGGGTTTAGTGGAATAATTAGAATTTCAAAACCCAGTGTACGTAGCAGCTATAATATGAGTGTTTTAATTTAAATTTCAAATTGAATGACCTTTGGTTTGGATGAGGGTTTTGGGAAGTGGTATGTAGCACATAATTAGGTGTGATTATAACGTGTAAATATAAACAAAATGGCATAATTGTTGTTAGTTGGAAATAATTAAAAAAAGTAAAAAGTGGCAGAAAAAACCATAGTGTGACACATCAACCATATTTATTGTCAAATCAATATGGTGCAAGTATTTCAGAAAGTTACAAATATACCCTTAGATTAAGACTAAATTGAAATTTACTAATTAGGGTATTATGGTAAGTTAATGGTACTTTAGTTTTTATATATTTATAATAGATAATAGATTTCGATTAATAATTTGAAAGGTTGCATTTAGATCTCTCCAAAAATAGTTGTAAGAAAAGAAAACTTGAAATAATTTATATGGAAACTTAATTAAAGTTTTAATTTATAAATAAAAAAGTTTAAATATTATTTCCTACCGTCTGATTTCCGTTACAAAAACGTACTATGTGACAATCAGCACTGACATAGTCATCATATTTTTTCTTAGAGCATCCACATCTATCATCTCTTCATGGGTTCTTTAAATGGGACCTACTTAATTTTTTATATTATATCACACTTTCACATTTTCTAAACAACCCAACTATATTTTTTAAATATCCATACAACCCATCATGCATTCTTTCAACTTTCAAAAAAATTGAAATTAATATTTATGGCTTGTAACAATTTCCATTAATGATATAACCATTATTTTTTTATATTTGGCAAAAAAAAAACAGTTAGAGAGCGTGATTAAATAAGAGAACATACATGAATGTAGGAACGCTACTTTTTCTCAATTATCCAAATATTAAAAATAAATTTATTAAAAACTGTGTAGCAACGGCACTTTGTCAACCGATAATTATACTCTTAGGTTTCAAACAATGAACTTTTAGCTTCCAACCCAGAATTCTTTCCACCAAACCACTTACATTGCTTGTGATATATTTGGTAATGACTTGATTTTTTTGAAATATATATTAATTTGTTTTGAGTTTTGGTATTTTTGTTTTATTCTAATAAATAATAATATACAGTAATAAATAACTGCAAATATTTTATTAAATATCTCATATTATATCCACTCTTTAATATTTTAAATATTTAATAGTCTTTAATTTAAAATAATAATAGATAAAAATTTAATAAATTAAAATGAATAATTTAAATATTTAATATTTCAACTATTAATATTTGAAATATTAATAGTTAATAAATTCAATAGTTAAAATATTTATAATTTATATATTAAATAATTAAAATATTTAATAAATTAAATAGTTAAAATATTAATATTTAAAATTTAGAATTAAGGACCTAAACCAAAAAATATAGTATTACAACCCCATAATTAGGGATCTAAACCAAAAATAATATATATTTAAGGACAACAAAAAAACACGTCAACTATCAAGGACGATAAAAAAAAACGCTAAATAATTAATTTATTAAATATTTCAAATATTTATTAAATAAGTTAATAAATATTTCAATTATTTATTAAATATTTTAACTATTTAATATCTTAACTATTAAATATTTTAATTATTATATATTAAATAGTTATTTTATAATATGTAATTCAAACTATTGAATTTATTTATTAATTATTAAATATTTCAATTATTATTAATTAAATAATATATTTAAAAAATAATTACAATATTTCAAACTATTTATTATATAAATTATTATATTTATTACTCAATGAAAAAGTAATTATTGTATTAATAGTTTATAAAATATTTTATATTTTAACTATTTTATTAAAAAGTAATAAAATACTAATATAATTAATTAATAGATTAATCATAAAATTAATTAATTAATTATTTATTTCATTAATTAATAAACTATTTATTAAAATAATTATTTAATTTAAACTATTTAGTAATATAAAATAAATAAATTATTTAACAATCTATTTTGATATATTAAAATATTTATGTAATATATATTTGTATTGCACTTATGTTAACATGATGATTAGTTGATCCAATAGAAAAATAATAGTTTATCATTGTAAAGATTATGGATTCAACACCAACTTTGACGTGAGGACCACCAAAATAAATAACATATAAAGATTTGAACTAAACAAAAGATTCTGGAGCAAATTCAAAAACACGCGACGTTAAACCTAAAAAAATTATTCTTAATCATAATTTATAGTACCATTACCAATAAACAAATTATAATAAACAAGGAGTGGGGGCACATATCCTCTCTCATGACTGTACAGTCCAATGAGATCAACATATACCATAAAAATTAATGCTAAAACAAGAAAATATGTTTAAATTTTATAAGGTAGTATTTAAGTTGCACAGAATTCGGTGGAAACTTCACTAAAATTAATCCATTCCCGCAAGGAGTCGTTGTGTTGTTGCCATGGACATTTTTTTATGAGATTTACGTAATGAATATAATCGAGATTAGTTCATTAATTCTGTTAGCAGTGTGGATGTCCTTCTAGCTTTCTTTGTTTCTGTTGGAGGTGCATTGGAAACATATTTGTATCTTGTTGGTGGCATTCTTATGACTTTGGTTTTTAATTAATCCATTACGCAACAACTCATACTTAATATTATAATTCATATTAACAGATTACAATAACAACTTCTTCATAATTAATATTAAACAATACTGATTATAATTCATACTAAACATATTACAATAACAATTTCTTCATAATTAATATTAAACAATAATGATTATAATTCATATTAAACATATTACAATAACAACTTTTTCATAATTAATATTAAACAAAAGATTATAGCTTCTTTTTTTATATGAAAAGTTGAATATTGAGCAGCATGAAAAGTTGATTAAAAGCTGAAGAAAAAAAATTAGAAATAATTCATTCACGATTTTAAAGGTTTAAAGTTATCTGATTAATCAAATCTGAAAAGAAATAGTAGAGAAAAGGCTAAGTCTATAACTTTTTCTCTGTTACTTCTGTTCAACCTTAAATAATCATATAATTTCAGACTTTTAAAATTGTGAATGGATCAACTCCAATTTTCAATGCTAATAGATACCGATAAATAGATACAAAGTATGTATTAAAATCTAATGGTTGAAATCAAGACTGAACATAAACGGGAAAACAAAAACTAAAGAGATCCAAATCCTTCAAAATCACACCTGCAAGATACTTCGCACACACACATCAGCGTAACGTCAGCACATCTGATACAATACTTCACACAGTCAACCAACAATCCATGCAAGGTCATTCTCGTAGATCCAATGGCAGACCTCAATCTTCCCGGGTCCAGGGCCAAGTAAGTGGAAAGCACTGTGAGTTGGGGCCCATGCCGTTGTGTTAACGTGGCATATAGCTATTCCAGTGTTGATAACGGTTTTGGATGCTAAATCCAACATTTGAGACTTATAAAGTCTGACAGTGGGAACATGATGACACTGATACATAATGGATGGAAATAAAGATTGATGACATGAAACAACAGATCCACTGGTAATTAATTCAACCCGATCCAAGAGAATCTTTTTTCCAGAACCGTTAACATTGGCAGTTGTTTTGACACTAATATTTTCACCCAAAACGGATTTTACAAATTCAACCATATCTTCCACCGTCACAACACATTTTTTTACCTCTCCTTCACTAGCCGGGCTTTCACAATCATTCATAGCCATCCTCATCATCTTTTTCATTTTTGGATTATTCTTAAAAACATTAAAGACTTGCTGTACCTTAGAAGATGCGGCGGGACTGAAAATGGAACTCGGCAGAAACTCTCTCGGCGGGAGTTTGTCAGTAATGTCAGGGATTAACATTACTGTCCCTCTCTTCAGGGATTTCTCCCTAAAAAACACTCCTGGTTCAACAAATTTGTCTTCACTCCGATACTGTCTAAACCTTTGATAACCTCCCAAAGGTCCAACCTCCTTCGATTTGTCTTCACTCCGATACTGTCTAAACCTTTGATAACCTCCCAAAGGTCCAACCTCCTTCGATTTGTCTTCACTCCGATACTGTCTAAACCTTTGATAACCTCCCAAAGGTCCAACCTCCTTCGATTTTTCTTCACTCCGATACTGTCTAAACCTTTGATAACCTCCCAAAAGACCAACCTCCTTCAATTTGTCTTCACCCCGATACTGCCTAAACCTTTGATAACCTCCCAAAGGACCAACCTCCTTCGATTTGTCTTCACTCCGATACTGCCTAAACCTTTGATAACCTCCCAAAGGACCAACCTCCTCGTAAGAGGAGCAGAAGAGGTGTGCTTTGAAGCACAGTTCTGGTGTATTTAGAGTTGTTTCCTTAGAGAGGTTTGAGATCTTAAAATTGAATGAGAGTTTTTGGGCTCGATCAACTGAAGTTGTTTGTGCAAATAAAGTGGTAAAAAGGAAGATAACACTGAAAATGAAAATAAGGAAAGTTCTCATCTTGAATTTTTTTTTTTTGTTGCAGTGGGTGGGTTGAGATTTACTACTGCGATTTCATCTCATTTATAGGGTTTAGGGAGAGATCAACGAATTGAAAAACAAAGCAAATTAAGGTGTGCATCAGGACCTGTGAACATCAGCACCTTCTGATCTGTGTTACAACCCATGAAATGATCACAGTTCTCCAACAAATATTAAAGTCCCACCAGTAGAGCATTTAGGACCGTGTGATTTCATCTTTAATTGTTGATCGGGTGTTAAGAGATATTAGTTGAAAAAGAAATGTTTCTAAGTTTTTAAAAGACACAAATATACTTACACTAAAAAATATAGACAATTTTGTATAATATATATAATATTTTATATTTAACTTTAAATTAAAAATACATATTTAATTAATTAATTAATTATATCAATTTAATATAATATATTCAATAATAAAATTTTAAAAACTATATAAACTCGTTAACTTAAATTAAATTATAATGATAAATGAATAGAATGGAAAAATATAAAGATAAACAATATCAAAATAAAAAATAAACAGCCATATATAAATTTGACTGATGACTAAAACATGGGGTGATGTTACTGTAATTCTTGTGTTTCCTTAATTCGTAACAATCAGCATTTCTCAAAAATAAATTATAGATTGCGTTTTGCATGTGAGTGAAACTAAATTAAATTATTATTTGCACTAAAAAAATAAAAGAAACATATTACTTTTGATGATAGGATTACTAACAAACTGGGTTTTAAAAAACCGTCAGCAAATTACTGATAATTTACGGCGCAACAATCACAATGAATGTCATAATATTTATATCAAAATGAAATCACAAAAATCTGTACGCGACAACTGTGACATTTTTTTTAAAACCTCACTAAGAAAAAAAAGAGATGGAGCATTTTCTTTGCAGTGTTGGAGAGAAATCAAAATATGTGGGGTCCCACATGAATTTAATCTTGAATTTTTTATGAACATACCCTCTTTTTAGCATTTAAATCCCAATATACCCTCTCACACTTTCATATTTCCCAATATACTCTCTTTTCAAACAAAACACGTTTTTGCCACAACTGATCCGCCAATGCAATGGGCGGAAGAGTGTATATTCCTAGGGCACCGCACATGCATTGGGCGGATGCTTATAAAAAAAGAGAGGCTCCGCCCATTAGATGGGCGGATGAGTCCAAAACGTTTTTTTTTTTTAATTCTGTAAATTAAATTCATATGACATTATAATTAAATAATATACATTTTAAATAAAATTCATATAATTAAATAATATACATTATAAATTAAATTCATATAATTAAATAATATACATTTTAAATTAAATTAATATAATTAAAGAATATACATCATAAATTTAATTCATATAATTAAATAATATACATCATAAATTAAATTCATATAATTAAATAATATACATTATAAATAAAATTCATATAATTAAATAATATACATTATAAATTAAATTAATATAATTAAATAATATACATTTTAAATTAAATTAATATAATTAAAGAATATACATCATAAATTTAATTCATATAATTAAATAATATACATCATAAATTAAATTCATATAATTAAATAATATACATTATAAATAAAATTCATATAATTAAATAATATACATTATAAATTAAATTAATATAATTAATTAATATACATTTTTAATTAAATTAATATAATTAAATAATATACATTATAAATTTAATTCATATAATTAAATAATATACATTTTAAATTAAATTCATATAATTAAATAATATACATTATAAATTAAATTAATATAATTAAATAATATACATTATAAATTAAATTAATATAATTAATTAATATACATTATAAATTTAATTCATATAATTAAATAATATACATTATAAATTAAATTAATATAATTAAATAATATACATTATAAATTAAATAAAATACACTTTAATTAAACAAAATATACTATAAATAAACAATAATTTAACTAAAGGACATAAATTAATTTTTTGCATTTTAACATATATAATCTCCCCATCACATCTACTGTCGATTTTGACCGGGTCGTGTCAATCGTTGGTGAGTTCCACAAGCAGGTGCTCGTCTAGTACGTTGGCCTGTTCTGCGATTTCCTTCTTCATTTTGTGGTTGAGTTGTAGTTGAAGGTCCCGCGTCACAGTCGCCCATTAAAAATTCCTCAATCATGTCCTCATTGGTAAAGTCTGTCTCGGCTGCACTGCCATAACTTAATCTGGTTCCCTCCCAATTCCAATTTGGTATGGGATTAGAAGACATTGGGCTATTTATTGAGGGTTGGTAACAATCTTGGGAGGTAAATTGTTGTGGTCGGGGAATAGGCATTTGTTGTTGGGGTGTTTGATAGTTGGGATTTTGTGGGGTTTGTTGGGTGCCCCATTGGGTGGGGTTAGAGGAAGGATATTGTTGTTGGGTGCCCCATTGGGTGGGGTTAGAGGTTGGATATTGTTGGTGGGTGCCCCATTGGGTGGGGTTAGATGAAGGATATTGTTGGTGGGTGCCCCAATGGGTGGTGTTAGATGAAGGGTTTTGTTGTTGGGTGCCCCATTGGGTTGGGTTAGAAGAAGGGTTTTGTTGATGGTATTGTTGGCTTGGGGTAAATGGTGGTTGTGTTGGGAAGAATGGTTGTTGCGTAAAAGATGGTTGTGTTGGGAAGAGAGGTTCTTGGTTGTGTTGGGTGTAAGTGCTTGATGATGGTTGGGTGTGTTGGACGTTTGAAGATGTTGGGAAATTACGAGGGTCATACAAAAAGTTGTTTGGTGACAGATACAAATTTGTAACAGACTTATACCATTGCATGTATTCCTTACTTGGCTTACATTCTTCTGACATGACATCTCCTTGTAAGACTTTATTTTCGCGGTTATGCCATTGACGACGCTCCTGCTTGTAACAATCTTTCCAATTGCTATATGCCCATTGATCGTTCACCACACTTTTGTGATACTCCTCCATGCACTGTGGAGCATCCGGTATGCCTTGCTTAATGCCAAATTGAAGTTTTACCCGATCAGAATGGTGCATTTCAACAGTAGTAAAACATATGATAAATGTTTTTGCACTCCACACGTGACTATCGGTCGGATCGGTATCATCAAGTCCCAGATAGGGCCTCCATGTAAACTGTTAAAAAAATCAGTTATTAGTTTAACGAACCATATAAAATATGTAATACTTAAAATATGGTTAAGAATATTACATCAGATTCTTCAAAATGATCGATGAAAGTCCGATAGCCAGGTGCACAATGATGAGGAGTCTTTTCGTAATCCATCCCATAGGCAGACCATCTAAAAATATGTAATAGTTAATTATTGTTCACATAATATATAAGTTTAAGACAAAGGAGTAGTAACGACTTACTTGGTTGCGTACGGAAAATGAAAAGGATTACGATTCCTAGGCGCTAGATTCGGCATCCTGGACCAGCCCCAAGCTTGTATTAGTGTTGAACAACCAGCAAAATTATGAACATCTTTTTTGGCGCATCTACAGAGGTTTCTGTATAGATGCGATAAAACTGCTGATCCCCAACTGTATCTACCTATTTTATTAAAGTCAGCTAGCAATGGTAAATACATTAGATGTATTGTGTTACCATTTGTGTCAGGAAATAATAAACAAGCGAATAACAATAAAATATAAATTCTAGTTTTTTTATGAATTTGTTCTAGGGGGGAATCTTGGTTCAATTCAAATGCATCATATATTTCCCGGAGCCAAGTAATTTTGACGAATTGGCCCTTTCTAGCTCTTTCGGGCAATTCTTCACCCAAGAGTTCTTGAGTTAATGAGTAATCAACATTTGTTCTCCCATTCACTGCCAAACCGTTTACACGTAAACCCATCAACATGTGGACATCTTCAAGGGTGACTGTGGATTCACCGGTAGGAAGATGGAATGTGTGTGTCTCTGGACGCCATCTTTCACATAAAGCAAGAATAAATTTCCTATCCACCCCATATGACGTTATGTTGAGTACGTGCCCAAAGCCCGCTTGCATCAAATATGGACGGATCATTTCGTCTACGCGCACATATGAGTGTGTACGAGGCCTAAATTTTTTCTCATTCTAAAAAAAAATAGTTAATATTAGAATATGGTTAATGTTAGAAGTATATGCTTAAAATTTTAAAAAATTTATACGTAAATATATTCAAGACTTACATATTGGAGGATGTTCGACAATGTTCCTCGGTGCTCCTCTCCATAGGTTAACAGAGACATTATAGTAAAATGAGATGTAGTGTAAAATTATGATGAGAAATAATAGATAAAGATTGAGTGTGATGTAAATTGGTTGAAAACATGAGGGTTTTTATAGAGAAATAATGTAGGGTTTTTATTCAAAACATTTAATGGAAAACAAAAAATTGGTTGGGTATTTACTCTGCATGCATGCTGCGTACGTAGACCCAGGCTGCATGCACAGTTTTGCAGGGTCCGCCTAATCAATGGGCGGAAGCCTTCTAATGTCCTGACACACCGCACATGCAATAGGCGGAAATGTTTATTTTTGTCTGCCATCCGCACTTTGGATGGGCGGAAGCGTGCATTAATACCTGCCTAGGGCGCAGAAGCAATGGGCGGAGCCTGCATGTACTTCAATGCATCCGCCTACTCAATGGGCGGAAGCCTTTAAAAATTAAATGAGACCGCTTCTGCATTGGGCGGATGATTTATTACAACAAAAATTAAATTCTACCTGCGTTTATTTATTATACCATATCTACTAAACACAATCTATTTCATTTAAATACACCTCTACCTCCTACTTTTTTTCATCAATCCAACCCATCACAAAACCAAATTTCTCCTACAATTCAGATTTTATTCAGTACGAAATCAACATGTCTCAAATACCTCAATACATAGTAGATGCTCATTACAATGGAGACATCCTTATCTCCGATGAAATGGGCATTATATTCGAAAATACCGATATATGCCGGTTCAAATTAA